AAGATAAAGAAATGACCAAGGCAATGGTCTTTGCCCTCCAGGAGCTCATGGAGGAAACAGATTAGAAATCACCAATTCTATGAGCACAGGGCAACAGAGGGAAGAACAAGGCACAGAAATGAGAAAGCACTTGAGCTAGGCATCAAAAATAAGTAAACAAGTCAAGAGTCAACACTAGCCCTATGGTTCTAGGAGTCAGACTAGTGGTTGCCTCTGATGGAGGTGGCATGGGTGATTGGCTAGAAGGAACGTGAAGGAGGTTTCTGGAATGATGGCAGTATTCTGCAGCTAGATGGGTATTGGCTACATGGGTGCATACATTTGTCAAAACTCATTGAACTGTACACATAAGATCTGTGCATTTTAGGGGCCAGCCAGGTGGCGCAGTGGTTAAGTTCGTGTGCTCTGCTTTGGCAGCCCGGGATTCGCCGGTTTGCATCCCGGGCGTACACCTACGCCCTGCTCATCAAGTCATGCTGTGGCAGCATCCCACATACAAAACAGAGGAAGGTGGGTGTTAGCTCAGGGCAATCTTCCTCACACACACACACACAAGATCTGTGGATTTTATTGTATGTAAATTGTATCTCAATATTTACAAATAAAATTAGTTTATTGAACAATATCTCTCTCAAAATGAGTAGTACAGGGAGGGGAGGGCCTTCAGGCTGAGAGAACCTCATGCACAGGGGTTTGTAGGTGCAGGCAGCCTGGCGCCTGTGCTAACCTGCTGACTGCTGAGTTTGGCTGGGTCTTAGGGTGTGAGGTGAAGGATGTGAGATCAGGTGGTTAGAGCCTTGTATGCCATACAGAGGAGTCTCGACATGATCCTGCTGGCCATGGGTACCACTGAAGAGTTTCAGCCTCCTCCCCAAGTGGCCGAGATGGCAGCCTTGGAGGCTAGGCGTCCATTCCCAGTTGGATAGCGAGAAGCAGGCCTCCCACACTCCCATCTCCTCAGAACTCTGACCAGAGGGGAGGGAGGGAGGAAAGAGGAGAAGAAACCAGAGGAATAGCACAGCCATCACAGTGCACTGTACCCAGTGCCCTGAAGGATAATCAGGGAAGAACAGGGTTTCCTACATCCAGGCTGAACTTGCTCAACTCTTCTGCCCGGGGAGGGAGGGTACCTATAGTTTTTGTCCGGACCCAGGAAGGAAATGGGCCCCATGGATTATTTCACAACTTCAGGGGTGATCTCTCCCTCCTCATCCAGCCCCCATGGGATATGTACTGTCCCTGCTGTTTGTATGCTTCTAAACCTAAAAGTGGCATCCAATTGTGCATCCCATAGGCCTAAGCGCCTCTGCCAGGCGGTAAGGCATTCCTAAATCTTTCTGTGCCTTTGCTGGACCCCCAAACTACAACTGGCTTTTCCTGTTTCTCCCACTTGAAGCACAATCCCTCTTCCACGTCCCACACGTTCCAGCCATTGTCCCTGTCACCAGCCTCCTCTCACGCCCCCTTTAACACTGCCGACCCTCTCTGACCTCTCCCTTCCCTGGACATCTGTTGCGACACCAGGCAATAATTTCCTTTCACCTCTCCCTATGCTAGTTCTGTTTCCTCAGCCAGGAGGAAAAATAAGGTTATTAGAGTCAGGGAAGAGCCACAAAAGCCGTTATTTCCCCCACCGACTTGGGGACACAGTAAATTCTTAATAAATATTTGTTGGTCGATTGATGATTGAATTTGGAACGCCCAGACCACTGTGGGGATTGTCTGTGCCCAATCAGAAGCTGAGAAAGTGTTTTCAGCAAAGATCCCGTCTAGAATTCTACCTCGGTGGAAAGGGCGGTGCTGGGGGTCGGAGGGACTGAAGGAGATGGAACGCAGGGTGGCTGGGATGTTGTGGGATGTTAAATCCTGACTCCAGCTTTGCCTGGATTGCTGACCCCAGATGACCCAGGCAGCAGAGCTGTGTCCCCACACCCTCCATTAAAGAGAGCACTGGGCAAAAAAACCCGAGATCAGGGTCTGTCAAAGCCAAGGCAATTCACAGGTGAGCTCAACTTGCCGATTTACGGCAACTGTTGAGTCATTACCGAAATTGCAGTTATGAACCGACCTACCTGCTGGGAAGAGAATTTGGGATAAATTGTGAACTTCAGAAAGTTTCTGCCTGGAAACCGAAGAGGTAACCATGGCAACCGGGAGGCAGTGAGAACTCAGAGAGGGCTCTTCATCCTGAGCAGGGAGCTCTGTGCTCACGGATTGGATTTGCCGGTCCGCGTGCGCCCCGCGCATCAATCCCTTTGTCTCTTTGCTTTCTTTGTTGAATGGGAGAAAGCGCAAGCTCAGGGATCTGGAGATGGGGCCCCGGTTTCAGCTGTTTCCAGTTCCAGAGCACTTAATTAAGGGCGCCTTAGGCACTGCTGTTTTGTTGTCTGCGAAATGTGAATTAAAAAGCTCCTCTGGCCTATTCACAGGGTTGCAGAAAGGACAGGAAGGTTTGAAGAGGTTCTCTGCGTGATCACTATTATCGTTGTCATGTGGCCATGTCTGGGCCGATTCCAACGTGGCGAGACTGGTGGTTCAGTCCATCCGTAAACTCATTTTTGTCTCTTGAAGAAAAGCTGTCCCAGACACCACCCACATCCCCACCTGGCAGCTGCATAATAAATGTAGAACGACAACCCTCACCTCAGCTGACAGACTCCTCCAGCAGAACGTCCTGCTGATGGGGCCGGGTGGGCTGCGGTATCCTGTGGATGAAGGACTGGGGTGAGAAACACAGACGTTCAAAAGGGCACCCTTCCTTTGCCTGGTTGCACACCATCGTCCCCCTCCCAACCCTTGCCCATCTCCTGTCCCCACCAATCCAACCCTGGACTCGTGAGAGAGGAAGAACAAGAGCCTAGGTCAGCGAGACGGGGGTGAGGGTGGGATGCTGGTGTCTGAGATGGCGCTGCCGGCGTGTGAGCTGCTGCTGGACCTGCCCCTGTGCTCCACTGACCAACCCACTAAGCAACTGGGAGATTGGCAAAGGGTGGACTCTGGCTCTTCAGAGCACATTATGTTTTGACCAACTGGGTCATCTTCTGCAGGCCCTGGCTTAACAATGGAATCTGCTTTGGCAAAGACCCCACACATTATTCCCATTTGGACCTCTCTTGCTCTAGCAATGCCTCAACGACTGTCTCACAGGCTTTCTTCTTCTCTTCCCTTCTGTGGCTTTTCTCTTTTCTTCCCTGACCAGCTTTTCTGAGCCTTCTCACTGAGTTCTCTCAGGTGGGGAACCTCTTCTCCTCTTGTTTCTCTCCTTTCTAACCCTTTACGTCTAGGCCTTGCTGAGGAAGAGCAACTCTTAGATGCCCCTCATGAAATAAAAACTTAAATTCCAAGAGACGAAAAAAAACTCACCACTTTTCCTTATTGTCTAGCAATCCCTGTATTAAGTAAATCCTAGAGCTAACATTTAGTGGCTGCCGATAACATGTTGAGTGCTAGTCTAAGTGCCTTATGTGCATGTGCTGTGGCACAAAGCCCAGATCCCTGTTTTGGATGGAGGCTCTCATCCCCCATCTTCCAGCATGTTGTCTGCTGTAGGCTCCCAGTGCACTCGCTCCAGGAGCTACTCTTGACAGAGGTTGCCTAAGATTAGGCTGTCTTCTTGGGGCAACTGCATCCGATGAAAAGCCTGCCCCTTTGCCTCAGTGGGGGACAGCTCCGAAGGGCTGTGCCACTCCAGAGCATCCCCTGGGAACAGCTTCCATCTCTGTTGCAACAGCAAGGCATTCAGCTCCTCCCTCTGCCCAACCCTGCTTCCCTCACTCTCTCTCTCTTCCAAGAACTCTCCCTAGCAAGTCTCTGCCTCAGAGGAACAGAGTTTCCCATTTCCCGGGGGAACTCGAATTAAGAATTAGCTTATTTAGACCTCACAACAACCTTATGAAATAAGTGCATCATGTTCTCATCTTAGAGGTGTGGAAACTGAGGCGTGGAAAGGTGAAGAAGCTTGCCCAAGGTCTCCCATCAGTAAATGCTGGAGCCATGATTTGAAACCCAGAAATCGAGCCCTAGACCCTACACTCTTAACCTCACATGCAGCCCCTTAGTAGCAATCTCAAAGGGAACTGAGGGGCAATGGGGGAGGCTGTAACGCCTTTATGGGAAGATGAGGAGAGGGGCAGGGTATGTATTACCTTTATCTCAGAGATGAGAGGAGGACACTGAACTAGCAACTGCTTAAACCCAGGATCACTCATTAGTTACAGAGGTGGCAGGGTTCTAATTTTGCGGGGGGAGTGGAAAAAGCATGGTAAATTCACATTTGAATTCTGGTGCGACACTTACTTACTGGGCAACTTTGAGTAAGTCGTTTAACCTGAGTCTTAGCAAACGTGTCTGGTACATAGCAGATGCTCGATAAAGCTCCCCCCGCCATGCGTCTCCTGATCTGGGCAAGTCTCTAACTTTCTGACTCAGTTTTTTAATCTATAAAATGGAAGTAATGATGAGATGATAATAAAGGGCTTGCTTAATCCCATGGCCATCCTGGTAGGAGCACAGTAAATGGTAGCTATCAGTATAGTCACGATGCTGTGTTGCCCGGCTTGCACCCTGTGCTTCTGTCCTTCAGGACCGAACAGGCTCAGGATCAGGCTGTGGTCGACACCTGATGTGCCTCTCAGACGCGCCACCCCCTACGCAAATCCTCCTGTTACCGCTGAGTTGGTTTCCTGCTTTTACTGGAGGCCGGAGGGTTTTTTCCTACTAAACTGAGTGTGCGCATCTCATCTCTGTGTGACTTCTCTGTCGCTTCTCCGTCCCCACGCCCGCGTCTGCGCGGAGGAGGAGGGGGCAGCCCCGTGTGCACCCAGGTGTGAAGGCTGCGCGCGGGCAGCGGAAGCGCAGCCTCGGGCCTGGCGCCCTGCCCAGTCGGGCTCCCGGGCCCCGCCTCCGCCCTCGCCGCGCTCAGCCTCACTCTCCGATTGGTCGGCGGCGCCCCGCCGTTCCTCTCCGAGGGAATAAAAGCCGCGGTAGCGCCAACTCTGCGAGTGACGCTCATAAACACGTCCTCCGCTGCTGGGTACCGCTCATCTGCCTCCTTGCGCTTTTGGTGCCCACTGAAGCCCGCCACCATCCTCCCCACGACGTGCTGCCCTGCACCCTCAGCCATGTGCCGGACCCTGGCCGCCTTCCCCACCACCTGCCTGGAGAGGTAAGAGGAGCTTGTCCTGCTGCCCCGAGGAAGTTGTTCAAGTCCCACCAACCGTTAGGGAGTGGAGCGGCAGGCTTGGGGGCCTGGGTGGGCGGAAGAATGGGACGCTAGTGGCTTGAGTGGAGAGGCAGAGGTCAGCTTGGATCCACGATCTCAGATGGTTCCCTTAGAGTCTTAGAGAAGTCATGGGCCAAGACAAGGGAGAAGGAAAGGCAAAGGGAAGCAGAGGGACCACTGCTTACTGTCATTCCCCATCCTCTGACAAATGGCAGTCCTTCTCAGGTGACCTGCTGAAGACTTGGCTGCAAGAAGACCATGTTGGCATCACCAGGCAGAACTGAGTCTTCCTTAGTTTCTTAAGCACTTGATTTTCATTCTACAGCCCAGATCTAGGGACATGGCCTCCTCTGGCCCTGGGAAACGGGGAGGTGTTTTTGGGTCCACGGGTGAGGGATGTACCCACTTCCCACGGAGCTACTCAACTGCCTCCAGTCCTTACTGCAGCTGGTGGCTGGGAGGGAAAACGTAAAAAGGAAGGCAGGAGTCACTTTCCACATAGTTTCCGAAATATTCGTGAGAAGCCTAGAGAGTGCTGAACTGCCTTCTGCTAATTAACAGGCTCAAAGTTAGATTGGTGTGACTTAGGTAGGAAAAAGCCCATGTATGCACTGCTGGAAACCCAGAAAGCATAAGACCTACCGAGGCGCAGCTCAAAAATTCCTTTCCTTGTTGCTGGGTTCATGACACTAATGAAAGAAGCAAAGTTTAGGCCCTGGGAACAGCCAAGGGTTCCCAGGACCCCTTGAGGCTGGAATTTGGGTGGCACCAGCCTGAGACACCATAAACCTCTCTGCCCTGGCTGAGCAAATAGACAAGCCCTACACGCTCGTGCTTTGTCTTCCAGAGCCAAAGAGTTCAAGACCCGGCTGGGGATCTTTCTTCACAAATCAGAGCTGGGCTCCGATACTGGGAGTGTTGGCAAGTTTGAATGGGGCAGTAAACACAGCAAAGAGAGGTAAGTCCTGCTGACCAGCTGAGGGCCCCTAGAGGGAGGGAGCCAGATTTAGGAAAGGAGTCATGAGAAAATACAAGGAGAAGTGAGGACACGCTAGGGTGGACCTTGGTGCCCCACCCCTGGAGATTTTAGTAGGGCTTCTTGCTGGTCTGCTATGGCTGCTTGGCTCATGGGTGGGTGGCTCCAGGGTTCCAGGTCCACAACAGCAGTGTACACGGGGTCTGGATGTCTAGTTACCAGACTCTCCCACCTGGAGCTGTCGTTGTACATACAACCAAGGCTAGGACAGGTTCCAAGACCTCCTGAGCTTTTTAAATCAATGTCCCCACTTCCATTAGCATGCACCTTGCCTAGAAGCCCCTTCAATTTGAGCACTGACTGTGCCAGGTGCTGTGCTAAGCTCTGGGGTTATGGTTGACATAATCCCTATTCACGAGGCCCTGATTTCCTTGAAGATGTGTGCAAAACAAAGCTGTGAGAGTCACGGGAATAGAAACAGCTTTGGACAGCAAAGAGACAGTCTTAGAGATATTTACTGAGGGCCTAAAGGTCCCTGGCTTTGGTTTCTGGTTACCGAGTAGTCTTCTAGAAAACACTGCTGTTTCCCCCAGCCCCAACCAAGAATTTGAGGAGTCAGCTCTAATAATCATCAAGCAAAGCTTTGTGTGAATTATGCAACTCCCATTGGAGTTCTGATAGGATTTGTGCTATGCATTTGTTTGTTTGAAATTAAAATCTTGCCTTTTTTTTTTAGCAGAAACTTCTCAGAAGATGTGCTGGGGTGGAAAGAGTCATTTGACTTGCTGCTGAGCAGTAAACGTGAGTCTGCCCCATTATGTCTGTCTGTAGAAGGCACATGTGGACTCATGTGCTTGGGAGCCAGCCCTGAGGGATGCTGAAAGCGTGGGCAAAATAATCATAGTAGGAATAATAATAATGATCCCCTGGTGCGCCAGCCTCTATTCAGAATACAAAGGCAGGTCCTTGATCAAGAAAATTGCACCCTAAAAATAGAGCCATTAACTACAATAGCTGTCTTTCTTCTTTTATTCCTGGCTGTCCCACGGTCTGACCTGTCTCTTCCTCTCTCATCCCAACCCCAGATGGAGTGGCTGCCTTCCACGCTTTCCTGAAGACAGAGTTCAGTGAGGAGAACCTGGAGTTCTGGCTGGCCTGTGAGGAGTACAAGAAGATCCACTCGGCTACCAAGCTGGCCTCCCAGGCTCACCGGATCTTTGAGGAGTTCATCTGCAGCGAAGCCCCTAAAGAGGTCAGAGCCCTGACATGTTCCGTGGACCCTCCAGACCCTGCCTGCTCCTTCCCCACTGAGCACTGGGGATGATGGGGGCCAGCGGGTGGAGGGTTGAGTTTAGAAGTAGAGTGGCCTTATTTGGCAGAGGGGTGAGTGGGTGTCTGTAGCTGGAGACTAGGAAAATCAGGTTCCATGCCACTTCTGGGTGCTGTTACCCTCAGACTCACTAATGGGGTCAGAGGGGTTGGCAGGTGTTTTGGCTTCTGTCCATACCCACTTTTGTAGACTAAACCCTTTTTAGAGGCTCAAAACTCTTGCACACCTGGGGAGACAGGTCACCCTAGGGACCTTGTGTAACCTGGCTCAGTCACCTGGCTGACCTGCCTCAGGCTGGCAGGTCTGTGGTCAGTGAGCCTTCCCTTCCGGCCTTTCCTGCATGGTGTCCGCACTCGATAAAGAACATGGGGCCACCTTGTGGAGAGAGAATGGTAATGCCTTGCTTTTGTGTCCTATTTTGTATTTTATTTTCCGAGCACTTTTATTTATTCCACGTTATTCCATAAAGATTTATTGAACACCCATTACGTGCGAGGCACTGTTATAGTCATTGGGTTGTAGCAGTGACTGAAATAAAGTCTCCACCCTCTTGGGAGAGGATGACTATAACCAATAAATGAACAATGTGTGCCAGGTGACACTATGTCCTCTGATCAAAACAAAGCAGGACCTGAGAGAGAGGGAGTGCCGGAGCATGGGGTGGGAGGGGAGGCCTTTCCGATTTATAAAGGGAAGTTAGGGATGGGCTGTGACGTGAACAGACGTGATAGAATTAAGGCAGAACATTCTAAGACAGGAAATGGCAAGTGCCAAGGCCAGAGAGTGCCTGTCGTAGTCACGGGTCAGCAAGTGGGCCTGTGGAGCAGGGAGAGTGAGGGAGAGAGTAGGGGATGAGGTCAGACAGGCGGCACATGGTCAGATGTGGGCCCAGCACGCCCTCTGGCTTTCCCTCTGAGTGACATGGGAAGACAACAGAGCTGCTAGCAAAGTGACTTCGGTTTTGAAAAGCTCACTCTGGCTGCTGGGTGGAGAACAGATCACGGGGTGAGGGTAGCAGAGAGAGACCCGGTCGCAGGCTCTGGTGCTAATATAGGAGAGGCGATGGTGACCTGAACCAGGCTTGTTACAGAGGAAGGGGTGACAAGGGGTTGGGTTTGGATGTACTCTTAATATATCCTCGATAATTTTGAGAGATTGGAGGGCAGACTCTGGATCAATATGGGGACAGGTCCAGCTTGGAAAAGCCAATTAATGGTTGATTCAGGAGAGCCCAGGTTCCTGGTTCAGAATCCAGTGTGCCTCCCCCAGCCCCACCTGCCAGTCAGTCCTCCCTTGGCCTGTTGGACCCCCCGCCTTTCCCACCCTCCTCCCCAGCCCCCCTCACCCATGTGCTTGCCTTCCTTCCTATAGGTGAACATAGACCACGAGACCAGGGAGCTGACCAGGACGAATCTGCAGGCTGCCACGGCCACGTGCTTTGACGTGGCTCAGGGGAAGACACGCACCCTGATGGAGAAGGACTCCTATCCACGCTTCCTGAAGTCACCTGCTTACCGGGACCTGGCTGCCCAAACCTCAGCCACCTCTGCCTCTCCGTCCAACTGCAGCCCGGCTGAACCTTTACACACCTGAGCCTCATGGCAGTGAGGAAGCCAGCCGGGAGGAGGTGGAGTCACCCATCCCTGAGGCGGCCGCCCCTGTGTGGGGGACAGGTTCTGGAAAGCGAGCATGAGTGGACAGTGAAGGATACGGCCATTCTGGCAGCCTGTCTTCAAAGCAAAACCCTTTCCTCCAGATACTGTGGGACTGGACGCCATGCATGAGAGGGCTCCCCCACTTCTAGGACCTGTGGATAAGGGCTGAAGATGAGGGTCGTGTGGGGCTCTCCGGGGAAAAGAATGGTGGTGTAAGTTCTATCTTTGGCCCTCGTCATTCTCAACGGGGCAGGATATATTCCAGGGTAGTTAGGGAAACATGTGCATAAAGGGAAACTGGAAAATGAGAAAAGGGAAGACAACCAGATCATCTGTTTTTGCCTGTGGAACAGTTGACTGATCGCATCCTGTTTTCCTAATTCCCAGACTGTCCTGGGCACAGAAGGGAGCTGTGGATGTGGAGCCTTCTCATTCCATCCTCCTCACCTGCCTCTGGGCTGCCCCAGGGGCCCTCAACCTGCACTTCTCAACACCCCCATGTCCAGCCCCACTGTCTTGTCAATGCCGGGGTACCAATGTGATGCTTGCCCAAAATGAGATTTTTATACCTCAAAAACTGGCCTTTGAACCCCCTTCCAAGTCAGTAGCCCTGAAAGAGGCCTTCTTGCTCCTGTGAAATTAACCTTGGTGCTCCTGGTGACCTCTTGCAGGTGGCCCCTGACCCTTGCTGGGATGTGCCCTCTCTGAGCTCTGTGCTGCCCTTGCATGTGGGGCCCGGGGCGAGAAAGGTGTGAGGCTCTCGGTGAAGGGCTAGTCCAGCTCTTACGCCGGGCAGTGTGGAAGAAGGGAGATAAGGATCATAAGAGACGAATCTCTTGGCAGTTCCCCAAAGCCCTGTTTAAATCAAGCCAATATTTTTTGTAGGTTTGAGAACAGGGAGAAAGAGACACCCTAGGATGGAAGAGGAGCCTCGTGTTTCTTTCCTGTAGATGGGAGGTGCACTTATTGGAGTGTTAGGAGAAATGGGGCAGGGGCCACGATGACCCTTGGACAGACCATAGAAGCTGGGGAGAGAGGCTGCTTAGAAGAGCTGGAGTGGGGGAAAAATCAGAACCTGCTTGTCGCCTCAGGGCATCACCGAACAAACATTCCGTAGTGGGACTTCTGCACGAGCCCAGGCTGGGGAGGTGAATTAACCAGGCAGCCCCCTTTGCCCCAGGAAAATCAACACCGTTCTCTCTGCACTAGGAGCTCCTCCAGGAGAAAATTATTTAAGTATAACATATTGTTGGTTTTGTGACAATTGTCATAGCGTGTTGTTCTTGTTGCTGTTGCGTTGTTGCTATTGTTATTTATTATTGTAACTTCAGTTTGCCTCTGCTGGAGAATCTCCACAGGAGCTGGCAGCCTGACGTCTCCCTCCCTCCACCAGACTCTACCTCCGAATGTGCTGGGAATCTTTTTAGCGCCTGTCAGGACCTCCTCACGGTTTAAATATTTATTTATTGTTGACAACTGGAGCTGGTTTCCTAGATATGAATGATGTACTCAATCCCTGTTTTCCTGTTTCAGTATGTTATATTCTTGTAAAATAAAAATAAAACCCAAATACGAGATGCTGTCTCCAAGGGCTTTGTGGTCAGGGGAAGAGGGGAAGGGAAGTGCTGTGAGAGCCTCGTGGAGGAGCTGGCCTCGGGAAATTCCACAGGACAGATGGCTGAGCTTTCGCGTCATAGGCAGAGGCACAGGTGAATGACCCGTGTTTGCCTGCTTCTAATGCTGGCCACCATGGCTGGTGACTTCCTTTAGCTGATGACAGCCCCAGCTTGTGTGGGGCTGTTCTGTTGTGTTGATTGGACTCAGCTCTGCTGTCATTTCAGAGCCTGTGTCCTTTGTCCACCCGACCTGGCACCAGCCATTCCCAATACTGCTTGTGACAGTGCAAGGGGTACTTCCTCCTGGTCAAGTAGCCATGCATTATCAGTTAGGTGGTGACTACTGTGGCATTTTCACTTTGGCTCATTTTCAATTTGCATTAGTATTCTTTTATAATTTCATAGAAGTCTCTGTGGTGAGCTATAGGAAACCCCTCTGTCCGTGAGGCTGCTCTATTCCAGAGGCTGAGGGAATAAGAGGGTTGAGCTGGGCGTGACAGCATTTGGGGGGAGGTTTGCAAGGATCAAATCTGCTCTTCCTCCGCCCTTCACCTACTTGTCTCCCTCTCTCATCCTACTAATCCTCATCTCATTTTCTGATCACCACTATTAAAAAATTCTTCTCTATGTTGAATTATCTGTTTATATACAGATCAGAACCTATTATTGACTTTTAGTTCTCTCCGGTTGTTAGTCTGAGTAAAGTGATCAGATGTTGGGTATGTTGAGTAGAAAACCCCATGGGATCACACTCTAAGCCCAGATCAAAGAGGTGGTTCTGTGGGTGACGCTGGGAGGGATTCTGAGTTTACGGGCCTGGGAAGGAAGATGGGAAGAAATACAGGGGCAGGCCCTGATCTCATGTAGTCCTGATGAATGAGGTAGGTATGATTACCCTATAATACAGATGAGGAACGGAAGCTCCTAGGGGCAGGAGCTTGCCCAGGACAGCTGGCTCAAGAGAATGGCAGAGATGAGATCTGAACCCAGTTTTACTGGGGGGGTTAGGGGGGGTCCGGTCTGTGAGAGATGGGTGGAGGGATATGATTGATGAGGGAAGAGAAAAGATGGGTACCCAGGGAGGTGAGCAGGTAGGGAGGAAATTAACATTGTCTTCCTTACTTTCCTTGCATCTTTTTCCTTCTTACATGCATTTATGGAGTGCATCCTGGAAGGAAACCAGAAGCAGTAACTATACTATCAACCGCAAGCAGCCTCATTTAATGGTAGATGGGGATTCCAAATAAGTTTAGGCAGGACACAAATGTGCACTTTCTGAATCAATGTGGGGGCCAGTAGGAAGAGGTGAGTGTAATCCATAAGCGATAGAGCTGTGAGCGGGGATGATGGACAGCCAGTGACTGGGGTGGGTGCCGGCAGGCTCGGTGATTCAGTGAGACCATTCTCAAGGTTTTCCCATTCCCCTAGCCGCCCCTGGCACACACAGGGTGGTCTTGGAGCCTGTGGTGTGGCCTGAAGGCGGTAGGTGCACATTAGAGATAAAGAACAGCTCTTTGCTGACCTAGACATCTCCCAGGAGTCAGGCTCAAAACAGTCCCATACCATATTGGTTCTCAGAGAGTTTAAGTGACTTCCTGAAGATCACACAGCTAGCAAGGGTCTCCAGTATCTTTAGACTCACTATGTCTGTGCCTTCCCCAGAGCACTTCAGGCTTTGGATCTGCAGGCACAGTGCTTCCTGAGTAGGCTGCTGATGGCCTCTCGGGTCTGTTCTCTAGCAACTCCCTCATCTGCCCCTTTAAAACAAATCTCTCAGGGTTCCCAGATCCACCTGTCTCAAGTTTCCTTGCTTTTGCATATTGGACCTCCCTGCTATGTCCTCTACCCCCACCATTGCTACCCACTGCCTCCTTAATCAGCCTAGGCATGCATCTTTCTACAGTTGGCTCAAGGGTCTTTCTGGGGAGGCTTCCCTGAGCCTGTGGGTCTGATGATAGATGCCTCTCCTTCACATTCCGCTGCTGCTGATGCTCTCCCAAGTAAGAGCACTTAGCTCCTTGCTCTCTGCCTCTCTTTACCGGATGGCAAACTCCTGGGGTGAGGCACATCCTTTTCTCCAATTTTCTACTCCCAGGGCCTAGCATATAAGGGTTTAGCAAACGGCTCTTGAGTTCACAATTAATTTCAAATCCTGCAGGAGAAAAGTTGAGATTATCATTTCCATCTTCCTACCAGACTTCTCTCCCTGGATGCCCCACAGGCTTTTCATACATAACACATTCAGAACTAAGGTCATCACCTTCCCCCTCAGATACCCACACCACCCCTCTGAGATACCCACTGTCTTCTGTTTCCCCAACCCTGATATGCAGAGACACTGCTTTCCCTCCCCAGGCTCACCAAGATATCCTTAAAGGAGCCTGTCATCCTCTCCAGTCTGGGCTATAAAACCACTTCCCACCTGGTCTCCCTTCCCCCCGCCCCTCCCCCTCCAACTCATTGTCTGCACTGTAGTAGTCTTCATCCATAAAGCACAGAGCAGAGTGCATCGTGGCTACTTTAAGGCCCTTCAGTGGCTCACCTTTGACTACAAGGGAAAGTCCAGATCTTACCACGGCCTACAAGGCTCGCTCTGACCTGACCCAAGTCCCTCTCCTGACTTATCTCCTGCCCAGATGGCCTTTTCACACATGCTATTCTCTCTGCTTGGAATGTCTTCTTCCTCTTTTTTTTTTCTTTAATAGGGGGTGGGAGGTGAGGAGGGAAATGCCTTCCTCAAAATCCAGCAAAACATCACCTCCTCAGTGAAGCCTTCCCAGATGTCCACCACACAGAGTTAATCGCTGCCACTTCTGTGATTCTAGGACACACTGTTCCTGCCTTGATTGCTATGGCATGGCACTGGAACAGCTCTTCACAGTTCTTTTTCTTCCACTAAACTGATCTCTTCAAGGTCAGGAGCCATTATTTTTACCTTGATAAGATGGTGCGGAACGAGTCACAGCAAAGCAGTTCACAGCCCTGGCTGTGGAGTTGGAATGTTGGGGTTGGCATCCTGGCTCATTTGCTGTTTGACCTTGGGAAGTTATTAAGCCTCTCCAAGGCTTAGTCCCCTCGTCAGTAAAATGAAGACAATAAGAGTGCACCCCTCATAGGGAACACTGAAGGAAATAAAAGTGTTTGACACAATGTTGATGTCCCATGAATATTAACTATTATTATTATCTGATTCAAGTACTTTGCACAGTACCTTGTACCCAGTAGGCATCAGTCAATAACCACTTGTTGACTTTTTGAAGAGAACAGAAGAATCAGGATTCAAAGCCAGGATTCTAAGTCTATACTATTCTTTCAAGTATAGTATGGCTGTTTGAATACTGTGTTTCATCTGATGCTCAGAACATTCCAGAATTTCAGAGGAGAAAATCGAGGATTGAGCCATTAAACAAGACAGTACTCACTCAAACCCAGGTTGACTAGTGCTGTCTCCAAATCAGTGCTGTCACTTCCCTGTGACGGTGGCAGGCCCCCAGGCCCATCCCTCACCCTCTGCTGCCTCCCTGTGGTCATGTCAGGCTATGCAAACCTTTTCTTTGGCATTGCTTGACTTTCACCATATTTTAAATTTGGTCCTTCCTTTGGCGTTATATCCAAGAGATATAATTTGTAGTTTTGTTTATTAACACATTTTAATAAAGATGTAGAATTTTAATAGAACTGAGAATTATCAGCATAACTGCTAAGATGGCCCAGTGGGTTAAAATAAGATTTCTTTAGTCAACAGGGCTGAAGTTAACTTTAAAAATTGAAGCTCTTGGCGTGGATGTGGAGAAAACTTTTGTTCACTGTTGGTGGGATTGTAAATTGGTACAGCCATTATAGAAAACAGTATAGAGGTTCCTCAAAAAATTAAAAATAGAACTACCATATGATTCAGCAATTGCACTTCTGGGAATATATCCAAAGGAAATGAAAACACTTACTTGAAAAGATGCCTGCACCCGCATGTTCACAGTAGCATTATTTACAACAGCTAAGACATGGAAACAACCGAAGTGTCCATGGATAGATGAATGGATACAGAAGTTACAGTGGGAGTGAAGTCAGCATCATGGTGGAGTGAGTTATCCCCTTTGTCTCTCCCCTCTAAGTTATAACCATTGACCAGCACAGGACTCCTTACACAGCACAACAGGACCCCTAAGAGATCCATGTGTCTATACACCTGAAGCTGGGTGGACTGGACCTCCAAGGGGAAATGGAACTGGGGGAGCAGCCCCTCCCAATCCCCCCTGCCTCCCCGGCAGTGGTGACCCAAGGTACAGATCTTCACACTGGCATGTGCCTGCAAACAAAGGCTGGCACTCACGGCTTAGCCTCCCCGCCAACCCCAACCCCGCCCCCCCCAGCAGTGGTGGGTGGCGCACATGCCCTGAGGGTTTAGGACACAGAGTGGAGCTGACATCTACTCCCTTCCCCCATCCCCTCCCCCAGCAGTGGCCCTGTCTTTCCAACAGTGGAGACAGTATACAAAACTCAGATTTTCTCAGCGGGGGTGGGGTTCCCTGAACTGAGTTTTCAAAGCACACCAGCTCGCACCAGAGACCAGGGGCTGCACAAGCAAACAGCAATGACAATCACTGTCTGCTTAGCTCCTGTCCTCCTCAAGTGGTGGCAGGTGGAACCTGTGACCAGAGGCTTCAGGAAGCACAGCAGCACTGGTGACCCAGCCCCCAGTGGTGGCACTCCCAACGCTGGCTCTACCAGCAGTGGGGGCTGCATACCAGTCCTGGGGTCCTGGGAACCCCGGCAGTGACAGCAACACCTGTGAACTCAGTGCCCCGGCAGCGAGCACCCCCAAACAACCTGGGGGCAGCAGCACAGGTGGTGCACGGGGCGGCAGCATCCGAGCCTTTGGAGAGCCCGCAGAGAGCCAGTGGGGGAACACAGGACCCACGTGACCCTGGAAGCAGCAGAAATGCTCTCAGTCTGGTGACC